AACCATATGAAATCAAAGTATGACTAACGAAGAAATCTTTTAAACGTTTTCTTGAGACGAGATAGAAACCGTGAGTTGATAGATTAGCTTTTCAACCAGAAAACACGAAAACACGCGAATATTACCCCATTTGCAGTTTTGCATTTAATTATCATGGCCTTCAGTACCGTCAACGTGGCTAAGTCGTGTGGTGTTACCTTGCTGTTTGGACAAGGTTACATGGGTCTATCAATGTGCATGGTGAGAGCGAACGGATCCGAAAAGGAATGTCCTAATGATCATGATGACATTTGGCAACTTCGTGCATACACTAGAAGATGGTCTTTCGCTGGGCACAATCAATTAAAAAGCCTGCGTATTTCTAGACCACGCACCGTCTTCTGTCTGTTTCTCATTGTTCATCATTAGGAAAAACCCTCAATGTTATGCACTCTTCCTAAAAAGGGACAATGGCCGAAACCAGCGAAAGTTGAATCCCCCGCGATTGCCTATAGTCTGTCACAACCACGGCACCCTGCATCGCACCCACGAACGGCGCGGCCAAGGTTGCAGTGCCATCGTCCGAGTTTTTTTAGCACATTCTGTAATAAGCAAATTCGTTATATCCGTACCCCGTTACAGATGGGGCCTTGCCAAAGGCAGTAATAGGCAGCAAACTGCAAAAACAAAGTGCAAAAAAGTTGTTTGCCCTCGTGTATCGCATTCATAAGCCCCAGGCTTGTTTTGGGTAATAAATGTTGCAGTATCGCAGCTCAAATCGATGACACCGGAGTGCCGAAGCTGCGTCAGCGGGGTATATAAGTCAGGACGATCGAGGCTTAGGTTCAGACTACGTCACGGCCGAACGACAAACTGTCGTCAGGACAATAGATGGCAGCGAAAATGTATGCGTCCTCTTAGGTCTTCCGTTACGTCCTCCTCGAGACGTAACTTTTCGTCCATGCCTGAGCGCCGGGCAAGGAGGTCCAGCCGGAGTTAAGTTAGGGACCAAATTGATCTTGACAGATCATTTTTCGTTCGCCGACGTCCGGTCTACATGTTTGCGACAGTGTGGTCGGACTTCACCGTCCCGGGGCCCGCTGCTGCCAACATACATCAACGCTGCGCGGAATATGGACGGGGAGATGACGTCAGCGGCCCGGTCGGCCCGGTAATGTCCCCCCCGTCACTCGGCCCGCCGTTAGGGGGAGACTTGGGTCGTTTTGGGGTGAACCGTGAGGTCAGAAGGCTCGTTAAGAAAAATATACTTTTGAACCATGAGCTGAATCACATTCTTCGTTAGCTGCGTGAGCTGAATCGGGAGCCGATCATTTCTTAACACTGTGGTGACAGTGTGCCATATGGCTCAATTTAAACGGGTAATATAGAGAAACAAGCACGCTCCAGACAAATTTACAGACCATTTCAGTGTTCGCACACACGCACACACGCACACACACACACACACACACACACACAGAGAGAGAGAGAGAGAGAGAGAGAGAGAGAGAGAGAGAGAGAGAGAGAGAGAGAGAGAGGGAGAGAGGGATATAATATAATGGGAGGTTTGGTTTGCGGCATTGTGCACGTTGCCACTGTTTGGATGCAATCCCAATAATTTAAGACCTTTTTGGTACATGCGTGTGAACTAATCAGGTCTTCCGTTATTGAGACAGGTAGTAACAAATTAAGAGCTAAGTACCACAGCAGAAGTTTAGAACTGCTTGTCGTTTGACGCAACACGCTGGTTTCGAAGTCTCAAGTCTCAGCTCTAGGCTAGCACATCCTACCTGGCACTTGCGATCCAGACTCGTTAGTACAGATCCATGTAGGATGTTGGTATCAGTAACATCAGGTAGTTCCTGGCTGAGATTTGGCAAACTTTAGATGAAAATCAACATTTTTGTGTTTGCCGCTCAGAAATAACAATAACAAATTTTATTGATTTTGCAAAAAGCCTTGCAACTAATGCCGCATGCTGTTCATGTCAACACTCTGAAATTGTTTGTTAGGTTGTCAGGAGCGTGCTGTGTTTCCTCATATCAGCCCGTTTAAGTTGAGCCATATGTCACGACAGTGTTGGAACCCCCCACCTAGTCACAACTGGTGAAATGCACCGCCTCCGTGGTCTGGGGGAAAGATGCTGGACCCGGGATCCAGCGGCACTAGCACGAGCCACAGTGTAGGCGCATTGTTTGACCCGACTGAAATGGAGAGGCTACCTGGCAACTGGCCAACGAGGGTCAACCCAAGCCCGGGTGGCCGTGCCGCAGCATTGTGCGGCACAAGAACCCTCCGCATTCCTGTCTGACGGAAGGGCGGAGGCAAAATTATCTGTTGAACTGGACGGCACGCTTGGATGGTGGGTCCGGGGTACACGCAACGAGCTATGCTTAGCAGGCACTCTGTATTCAGTCACCAATGCAAACCATTCGGAATAAATTTATCAAGAAGTATGCAGATTCATTGTGCACATGACCTTTAGGTCTGTCCATGGCGAAAGGCGGCAGTTTACAAAGCTATCGGATTATTGCTCCCCGCCGTCTTCCCGTGCATCAACGCGCAAGTGTGCTTTTGACCAGGTTCGCGGCAAGGTTCTGCTAGAAATCCATAATTCACTATTCCTATCTCAAACACCCTGACTCAGATGTGTGATATCGCGCGGGGACGCCGTGGCACTTGGCGAAGCATCAGCTTTCAATCTGCCCACATCTCTGAATACCTCGACGCGGAGAGGAGTTGCCTCTGCCAGACAAGCTTATTCTTGACTGTATCCTGCTTCCAACGCTGCTCAGTTCAAAGACGGAGGCGAATGCAGAGCAACTAATTCCGTCCCGCAAATCATGCAATTAGATGCTGGATCCAATGACATCTTACCATCAGTGGTGAATTCATCTCAGACCTGATATTTGTGATGTCCGTGCCCCATGCTGCCCAAACCCAAGACAGTAGACCACTACCCAAAATCGGACACTGACGCTAGCCCAAACCGATTAATCTGCGAGCGCTGCGTTTAGTATCCAAACTAATGGGACGGCTTCGAGGTGCACCTCAAACTGAACACTGGCCATGCCGCGTTACCATGCAACTATCGGGAGCTGCTCTTTTGTTACTGCCTCAGCGATCACTCTATGACCGGAGCGCGTTGCTTCCGCGCATTTAGGTGGGTTGGCAGGTGTTCGGGAACAACCTACCTCCGCTTCAAGATGAATCGATTGATGATTCACGGATCAAATCACTTTTAGTGGGCCGCAGATGAATCGATTCTTTCGTACACAATTAAATGAGAATCACGAATCAAATCATTGGCTCTCCTACAGCTTGTTTGCATCGCAGTCAACATGATTGTGTAATGAATCGGTCAAATGCTGTCTGAACTGGTACTCAATCGTCATTTTGAGTGAAGTACAATATCAGTAAACATCGGTAATATATCAATTGAAATGTTGTTTGAATTGGCACTCAATCGTCATTTTGAGTGAAGTACGACATCAGTATACATTGGTAATATATCAATTGAATCGCATTAAATTCAGCATGCTGGCAGTTAATGTGAAACGAATCAATGGTGGATCGACTCACAAAGACGGCGGTTCGAACAGGAAAAAGATCATTGACCTGTGGTCTACATCGACAAATAATAGATTTGCAACAGGTAAACACACGATCTGAACCAGATCCGAATCGCTGAACATACAGCTTAAGTCAATAATGAGTCCATCATCAAACGTTTGAATTGAGCACAGGTCTGCTCGGAAAATGTTAGGGCCATGAGCGCAGCTGAGTGTGATTACGTGGGTGCGAGCGAGCAACGGCCCAGTGCATTCCGCTGCCAAGTGATGGATTAACCCGGCGGCGATCGTGACCGTGGGCATTGTTGCACCCATAACATATGCGCCTGAGGAACTCCTTTGACGAGGACACAGCGACAGCCGTGTCGTGATCCTTATCCGCATCAGCTTAGGATATGTGGTGCCCGCGTCAACAGCCATGCGCCTAGCCCTGTCCACGGGTTCAGTTTTACCGTTTGTTGCGAGTGCAGTCGTGCGTCCGGCATTGCAGACACTGAGCGTAGAACCGTGGCATTGTTCAAAACAGATAAACTGACAAATATGCAGCCATCAGTCATTGTTGGGGAAGTCGCTTGCGCCCCTGCCCGCGCGCCGGCCCTCAGGGTTCAGTTTGTCATACATGCAGTCGCCTCTTATTCACGTCGGTTTGCCAATTGGTTACTCGCCTCAGTACCACCTCACAGCGTATTTCGTGTGGTACCCGGGCCACGGCTCCGACCGCAGGGCCGGGCAGCGGGCGACGGGCGACGGGCAGGTTAGGTTAAGTTAGGTTAGGTTAGGTTAGGTTAGGTTAGGTTAGGTTAGGTTAGGCAGTGGGCGACGGGCGACGGGCAGTGGGCGACGGGCAGCGGGCGGCGTGCGCGACTGCGCCGGATACGCCCCGCCCGCGTGCGCCGCCTACGCCGCACCCTCTCGCCCGCGCACGTGACGAAGCGGCGGCGGCGGCGTCCAATCAGTCGCCACCTGGCTCGGCCGCCAGTTCGGTAAACAATCACAGGCCTCCGGCAGGTCCCGCGCGTCCCTGGCGCGCCCCGTCGGCGCCGGCAGCGCCGCTCCCGCGGCCAGGGCTCTCGACAATGCGGCCGCCCGTCGCCCAGGCCGGCCGTCACGACGCCGCCAGTCTGGTCTGAGGTTTGATATTCCAGCTAATCGGCGGTCGGGACGTCTTACCGCTCGGCTGCTTGAACGCCCGAGGACACAGCGAGTGGGTGTGAGTTCCATTCGGAGTTAGCCCGCCCCTCGAGCATGAGATGCGGCCGGCAAAAGGTTCTGAACAATGCTGATTTCACTGATTGCCTTCTCGACGCGCAAGATGATGACTGAAGCGTCTTAAGCGGCCAATAGCTGAAGTAATTGACTTGGAGGATCGAGATGAGGTGCGCTCTTCAAATGCAAGCAAAGCAGGCGGCACTCGTCACTTGACACTCGTTGACTCCCTAGTCAACTAGCTCATAAACGCCGGCCATGCATTTCAAAGTGTCATAGAAGCAAAGCAAATAATCAGAATAAAACGCATCTCCCATCTCCCGGTGATTCCGGCGAACTGGCGATATCGGTGATCGTACACGCCGATTCTCAGGGAAGAGCCGGGCGATACGCATTCTGGTATTTCCTGGAAGTCCCGCAGGGGCGTCTCACTGAGGAAAAGCATACGAGGCGTCGGCGCAGCGTGGCGACGCGCCAGGCTCGCGGGTGTCGGTTGCGGTGGGTGGCCCCCACCCTCCGAGCCCGCTTCAGCCTGTCGCGAGCTGCGGCACTGTCGTCAGCGCGCGGGACCGGCCAGGACGGACCGACCCACCGACGCCAAAGCCGATGTGCCAAGCTCAGCCAGATCACAACACTGTATTACCGCTCCGGCCGGGCAGTTGCCACACGAGAGCCACCCTCGCACCGGGGCGGGTGAAAAACAGCTCGCCTCGCAGTCGTGGCCAGGCCACCCCCACTGCAGGGCAGCGCCGAGTCAGTGGCGTCGCCGAGAACCCGCGCGCCTGTCCGGCCAAACTCTCTCGGCCAAGAAGCGCGTCTTTTCCAGCACGCATTACCATTGTTTGTCCACCAGCACGATCGAGCACTCAAAAGTCGAGTGCGTACCGGGTAAACACGCAGCAGGTCGATCCACGCCGCCGCCTCTACCGCCATCTGGCGCGCGGCGCGGCAAGTTCTGGTTACCGCCAGGTGGCGTCGTCTTCGTCGCTGTGCGCCATCACGGACTGGCACCCTTGGCGCCCTTGATCTCTTCATAGACCTCTTCGTCGGCACCGGCGCCGGCGCCGGCGGCAGCGGCCGCCGCTGCCGCCTCGGCCTCCTCCTGGGCGGCCTTGGCGTCGGCCACCCAGAGCCCCGAGTCGACGCAACGCTTCATGTGGTAGCGCGCTTCCTCCTGGTCCATCTCGGCCACCGTCCTCTGCAGCAGCTCCGTGTCCTGGGTCTCGAAACACTTCTGCAGCGCCTGTCGGACACGCGAGCGCGATCAGCCACGGGGCGAAGTCCGCGAGGTAAAATACGCGAGCTGGAAACCCGTAAGTAATAGTCGTTGCCTTGGGGTTATCACGCGTGTTAAGAATACAACCAAACTTGCGACATCGGAGTCTGGTTGCGATGGACACATTGTGTCTTCTTACAACTGAGATAGTATGAACCGATAAGAAGCACACCACACACGGACAAAATGAAACACACACAAATTAACCAAGTGATAAAGGGACAGAACCCAGCTATCCATGCCAGCAAGAGCAAACGAGACACAACAGGCCACAGCTCTGAGATTCCGTGATGGACCACAAATATTAACACAAAAACCAAAAAATACCACACAGTTAACGACGAGCTTTGCCTAATCAATGGGACTGCAATGCATTGTAAGCAAGACTCCAAATTATTGCACAAGTGTTCGACATCAGTTAGCGCTTGAAGGCGGCCCAGTAAAATGTTGAAGACTCGGTAAAATGCCCAGGCAGCAACTAGCCTGTAAAGCAGCTTACAGGCCTCTGCAGTGCATACAGGCAGAGACCCGAAACGTGCGGCGCCGCAGACACCACCAAAGGTCAGGCGTAGTAGACGGGAGGGCGAAGGCGCTGCCCACCCGCCGTCACAGGCGCCAGCAGGCCTCGTTGACCAACGCCGTTACGTTCAACATCGCAAGCAGCTTTTCCTGAAATCTTCTTAAGCACAATACCCTGTGTTGGTGCATCGCCCCGGGGAGCCCGCGCTCATGAACCGAAGCTTCCTGTCTTTCGTGGTGGCGGTTTGGGGTATCAAAGCGACCCGGTGTGGAGGCCATTCTACGGCCGCTTGAAAACAACCATCCATGTGTGTGGCGTTAGGCTCTAAATGTGTTGCCAGCTATTATTCAGCGGTTCCACTGGTGCCCTTACACCGTGGATTGAGCATAAATAATGGCAAAGTCAACGCGTGCTACAAATGCAAGCATATTTGCGAATTCGCAACAGTAGTCACGACCGATCAGCCGCCGAGGAGGTGTTAGCCAGACACCGCCGCCTGTCCGTTTCATAGTGTCGGCATGACACGAGGACATGTTTAACAAATAGTCGGTCCCCACATCTGTCACAATGTGGCATACCCTGTCGTGACAAGTAGAACCAGCGTGTTACATGCGGATGACCCAATCGAAACCTTCAAGGCTCGGCATCCTGGAGGCGGCTTTTGCGTGGGAGGGCCCTAATTCCCAAGCTCGGGCATCACCCCCCCCCCCCTGATTGCGTGAAGATGCTGCTCGAGCATGCTCTGCCACGTATCGCGGACGTGAATAGATAGCACACGCTTGAGATCTCGACGAGCAGGTACATCGACTGGTACCGGCCTCCCTTGACACGCAGCGAGCTTCGTTGCAGCGTCTGCCTTCTTACTGCTCAGTACCCCATCGGGTTGGAGGTCCATACAAATGTGATCCGAGCGTGAGTCTGGAAAACCAGAGCTACGGCGTTCGCTTCACCGCAGTGCCCGCCCTTCCTGCCAGGGTGAGAAGACGGCGACGTCACATAGCCTCAGCAGCTGAGTGCGTCGTGAACCCCAATGAGAGTCAGTGATGCTCAACCTTCCCAGTTCCCGCCAAATCGATCGTGTCAGCGATCGATTTGGCGATCATGGCAGCACGAAATCATGGTGGGGTCCAATGAAAAACGCACTTGTGAGCTAGTGCAAATAATTACGCGTCTTTCCGAGCATGGGCAACGAACTGGAGTGCTTCTAAAATGGTGCACAATTCCGAAGACGAAAAAAGCTGACGCCTGATGTGGGAAGCAAGTACTTTAAGCGTGATCCACGAAAAAAGCGCATTCATTTCCTGTCGGGTCCTTGGATCCGTCAGTGTGACCACGAACGTGTACACCAGAGGAGCGAAGAGGGAGGGGGAGGGTGGAGGGGGGAATGCAATGGATAAACCTGCACCTACTACGATTTATTCATGAGCTAGGATATCCTTATATAAGTACACCATGCATCCCGTAACACCACACAGTCTTGCCAATGCTTTATCCTCTGACTCGTTCATTGTTAACCGTTTTCAGCGCTCGCCCACGTGAACGTGCTAAACCTTTTTATCTCGCCGACGTGAACGTGCTGAGCCTTTTGTTAGTGACCTTTTCTGCTGCAATCTCTGAGGAATTACATTCTACTGCTGAACTCGTTTAACCTTAATTACTGGACCTATGGCCACCCTGGCTCGGCATTCAAGATGACACCCCGATATCATTACCTGAAATACTGAGAACAAAAATACCATAGGGGCTGATCCCTCATCCCACCAAGAGCCACGACATTTCGCCACGTGTTCGGGGGTGCGTGTTAGGCGCCAGCTGTTCCCGCCCACCAGGCAGCGCCGCAGGCCTGCAGCCGTACCTCAGGCAGCGTCTCGAACACCTCGGCCGGGTCGAGTCCGCCGGGTCCCAGCCGCTTCTTGCGTTCCTCCTCCTCGTACTCCTTGATGGCGGCGTCCAGCTTCTGTTTGGCCCGCGTCTGGATGCGCTGCTTGAAGGAGCGAACCTCGTCGTCGAAGGCACGCTTATACTCGACGTCGGCCACCTGGATCCTGTCAGAGGGGAGCGGGAGGGGAGGGCCCGGTCAGTCGAACAGAGCTGAACTCACGGCCAAGTGTGGACAATACAGAGCGTCCGGGTGGTTGTGGTCTAGGGCAGTGCAAGCTCCGAACAAAACGCCGAGTAAAACTTGCGCGATGTCACCAGCACGCGGTGTATCATGACACACGATCTACTTCAAATTGGACGCATACTGTTGGTCATCCCAGATCTTTACATTGCAGGTACAGGACATTGAGCAAATCCAAGCGCTGCTCAAGGCACAAACCGCGCATTTTATGCGAGGTGACTACATATCCCTCGCCTGGCAGGACCCGCCGCCTTGTCTGGCGGCGAGCACCACCTGAGGCCTTATCATGATCGTCTAAACGTCGGATAAGTTGCGTTCCCTGTGGCTTCGTCTGTGGCTTCGACTTTTCGCTGGTGTTGGTGTCGGATGACAGTTTCTGAGCGACCGGAGCGATGCCAGCTATTACTCACACACTGTGAGCAGTGTGAGCATACCGCTTGTCAGTGAGACCAAGATCACGAGCTCGGCCGCGAGGATATCCACCCATGCTCTAACGAAGGTAACGTGTTCAGCTGACGCAGCGAGGCCCGGCTGCGTCGTGACATTCTCTGAAGGTTAAATATTCGTAACCAGTAATTGCAGCTACATGCCATTCTAGCCGGCATGAATGATTCTTTTTTCAAGTGTGATGTTAATTCTTAACAACTTAACACGCAAGCAAAATACTACTGAATGTAAGGATCTTGAATAATGTTCTATCTGCGTGGAAACATAACAATTTCAACGAAGGATAGCCCACCCAATTGGATCAACAACAGAAACCCCATCCAAGTTCAGACATCCTAGCCTATTGGACGAAGAAGGGATACTTAAACCCAGCACCTGTGAAAAGGCTGGTGGACACGTGTCGAAGCCGGGCCCCGATCCTAAAGACCCCGTGCTGCAGCGTTCGGGGTCCAGCAGAATGGTCACGAAAGAGAGACCGGACAATGGCATCGGCGAGATAGCGGGTGGATTCGTGCAGCCGGATATGTGTTATCCATCGTAAGCCACAGATTCGCCCGCTTCGGTCTGTTGCCATGACTGATGTCGAATACACCCGCCATAGCCGATAGCCGCACAGTGTGGGCACGCGTACCGTCTACGGGCGACAAAGCCACGTCAGTGCCGTCCGACCCAACCGTGGGCCAACAGTCCACTGGGCAGCGGCCTATGTAACATCTTCGAAAACCAGTCCCCAGAACAGCCTCTGGTCTGAACCGAGCGAGAAAACCCTGCGCAGTCGTATAGTCTCATTCAGTATGGCCGGTATACACCCAAAATGTTCCGCTGTTTGCAATGCTTTGGTCCGAGTCAAGGGGACCTTAAGTCGCACAAAGCCATCAGCTTTGTCGACTAAAACTGCCAGCCCTAGCCAGGTCAAAATCCACACGACGTTCAAGCGGCGTAGGCTGTCGACGTGTGGGCCGTGGCCGAAAGCCGCAGTTATCGCGGTGGGCTGGGCCGCCGCGCAGTCAGCGCACGCCGTTCACGGAGTTCCGGTGGCGATAGCGACGCCATCGACGGCCCTGGTGAGCCGTCACGAGCTGGCGTGGAGAGCTCCAGCCCAGGGGGCGTGTCCACCGACAACACGCCACGACAATGACATGACTCGAGTCGTTCTGTCCCGGCGCCAGTCAGTCCCCACTCCCGTTCGTCAACATAAGGCTAGCCGTGTGCAATCTTAGCCGATAAAACTCCCCGAACACTTCATGAAAACCGGGGCAAAATAGTAAAAATAACAACACGATAACAGCTGCCAAATTGTCAGAAGCATGGCCAAAAACAACAGCACACGGCTGAGCATGAGCGACGGCGGTCCTACGTGGTGACCACGTACTTTGAGAAGAAGGAGCCGACGCAAGCCTTAGGGTCGACATCCATCTGTTTTCCGAGCTCCAGAATGTAGTTCATGCAGATGCACTGATGAGCCACGTGTGCCATCAGGTCGTGTTTCTGACGGGACAGGTCGATGATTAGTGAGGAGCCTCGTGCCACGCACGGTGGCTACCGGAGCTTCCAAACGCTTCGAGACATCACGTTTAGCTGCAAAAAAGACGTCACGAAATAGGCAGTCGACGAATCGTTTCCTCTGAAACCTGGCCGACGGTTTGCATTTAAAGCGGCGTTATATTGTGGGCGCAAAGGAATTATTCCAAACCATAAGGGGGTTACAGTAACTGAATGCATATATATATATATATATATATATATATATATATATATATATATATATAACAAGGCATTGTTAGTAAGCAGCTGAAACACATCCAAACTACTTAACGGCATTTCGCTTCCTAGTTTATTTAAACGCAGGCACTTTCAAAGTTTAACGTGGGCTTTGCCTGTGTCAAACAAAAACAAAAACTAACTTGAGTTAAGTTCAGAGGTTCAGAGACACAAAAGAAGTACCGGGCAAAGAGAGCAGACAATTGTCCTACGAGCCTGAAGGACCTAGCTGCACCGTGTCATCCTTGACATGCGTCCGTGCGGTGGGGGGGGGGGGGGGGGCAGGGGGCGCGTACCTCTTCCATCTCCAGGTTGATAGCCCAGATCACCAGGTAGTTGGCCGTGTACTCCGATGTTAGATGCATGTTCTCAGAGAGGAAGCGTTTGCTGTCGTCAAACTTTCGCAGCATGCCGTACTTTTTGATGTCCTTTTCATACTTTTGCACAAAATCCCGCATTCTCTCCTCACGCTCCTCCTCAGTGAGATCCTCGTCACTCCTCTTGGGCTTGGTGTTGATGACCGTTTTGGAGAAGCCATCGCTCGATATGGTGTCTACGTTCCAAGGCATCATCTTGAACAAAATAGGTCATGACATGTGACGACATGTAAAGAACTGTTTAAATAAATCCGGTCTGAGAAATATGAGAAACTATCACCTGTATGACGTATGTGACCCTTCCCACGTGACGTTCACAAATGAAAAACTGCAGCTACCTACAAAGGCTAAAGCTAGTGTGTCTTCTCATCCTTTTTACTGATGAGTCAATGCATTAAATCACCGTAAATTGGTTCGACAACAGGATTTTCCCTGTGACAGAGAGATCGCCAGCTGTAAGCAATTGAATTGGTTTTGCAGGTTTTCCAAAATGAATAGTTTCTTACCTTTTCTTTGTTTTCGAATTCCGACCATTGCTTTTTTATGTCCGCTGTTTGTTTTTCGATTTCTTGAAGGGATTTCTTCAAACTACCCAATTCACATGAACCATCTTGCTCCGCTTTTTTCACCTTACTCTTAGCTTCGTCCAAACGTTTCACGTAGCTGTAATCGTAATGATACCAGTGTTCCAAAACGGCTGAAAATATTGCAATTTGCCTGCCAGCACAGCCACCACACACCTGGTTTCAGGTAGACATCAAAAGTGAGGCGTAAGATTCCTCAGCTTCATTGGGGCGACCACACGGACTACTGATACAGCTATAATTACACTAATGATAACAACACATTGGAGTATCAGAAATATCCAGCATCGCACCTGACTGCGTGCCTGCTGAAGACCACTCCATATCATAGCACTTGAGTAACAGTGCAAGGCATGACATATGTGTGAACATCATTTAAACTGTCACTTCTTTCGAGCAGACACAGCTCAAAGCCACACTCTTTCTTGGTAGAATAGAAAAAGACACACAATTCATTACATTAAAGAGAGGGATAATCTTGGTCAATTTTCCGGAACCGAGTAGACACAGCCCAAGGCCACACTTTTCCTTGGTAGAATAGAAAAGACACACACTTCATTACATTAAAGGGAGGAATAACCTTGGTCATTTTCCGGAACATTGAAAAAACTATCTCAGCTGGCATCCTGCCCAACCACGAATACGTTTGGGATAGCATTGTCCATCATTTACGATAATCCTGGGGCTCCGGCCATGACCACAACAGAGTGTAGCCCCCCCCCCCCAAGCCAGGCCTAACATTTGGAAGTCGTGGTAGCCGTCGGCCAGGATCCGCCACGAATTAGTAATAATTGATCATGATGGGCCCTCAATACTCCTCTTCGTTTTGCCGTAGTATTTGCATATCTCATTTAATGGTAAGAGCCTGATGCAGTGATTTTGGAAGGCAAAGCAGCTGATTTTCTGGCCTCTCAGCCCAAGAACAAGAGAAACAATTGGTTGGGCCATTACCCCAATGCCAAATATTCCTTGGCATAACCAGCCTACTTGTCCCACCTACTACTACCACATACTCGTTCTTTTGGGACAGCAGCTTGTCCTTCTCCTCCTGGTGCTCCTTGGTGCGCTGCACGCGCGCCTCGTGTCGCCACCGGAACAACGACGGCGTGTCAATGTTCGGATGTGTGTCGTCCTCGTCATCAGACACCTGCAAACCCAGACAAACTGCCAGCCGACTGCCAGACAAACTTTAACAAGTCATGGTATAGCCCAACAGCTTCGCAAACTGCCTTTTTGTTGTTTATTTGGTGTTTGGGCACGACAGCTGAGGTCACGTAGTGCTCATCCCACACAGTCCTGAGTTTTGCTGGCATCAAAATGTTGTATGCTTATCTAAGGTTTGGCTCCTGTAACACTGAGCATCCCAGCTTTGGAAGCTTCAACTGAAAATCTTTAAATATAAAGACTTTGGAAGATTTTGGCATCATGTATTAAGCATAAATTTCTTACAAGTTCTGAAATTGCAGGATGATGATGATTACCAGCACTCAAATCATTGTAACAACACAGTCTGAATCAGGAACTTTTCTTAAGATCAATAAAGCTCCTTGTGTTGACTTTGTCTTGTGTTATGTCATTGCATGCTAAGTAATCAGGCTACAGTATGTTGAACTAAATCAAGTGGTGCCAATAGTGCCAGTAAACAAGTGGTTTCACTGCATATCTGAGAATCCAGAGATACTGGGTTCAATTCCCTGCCATCTTCTCTCCCTGCCTGCACAAAAGTTAGAAAATCTCATATACTCTTAGCTCCTGAGGATGCTATGAAGCCTCAATAATTACAATAGATTGGTTATGTAAAAAGAAAGATACTAGTTACAATTTTGTAATTCAGGAGAGTGGTTAATGCACATGGACTGAGCCAAAAATCAATAGATTAGATCTTATTTGACTAGACATAAAGTACCTAAAAATGTTTAGGAGCTTAGGCAAGCCAATATCATTTGCAATTATCCCCCCATCTGCAACCTTTAAGCCTGGTGATATCTGGCAGCAAACATGTTTTCATATTGTACCCTGGCCCAGTTACCATATTTCTACATTACCAAGCTCAAACACCCAGAACAATGTATATTCCATGATCTGCACAAACTTAAAATTACAAAAAAGGAATTATACTTAGGCCTTACACCACCTCCAGCAACTGAAGCCTGACAGTCTAACACATTTTAGAAATTGTGATGTGTGCAGCAGTACAAAACAGCACAAGCAGAGGAGCAAAACAGTAAAAATTTGTGCTTAACAACACCGAAACATATATGCTGCACTGGAACATGTCTCGCTGTACTCTGTTCATCAGTCTGAAATTGGTGCATGGCATCAACTTAACCAGAGCAAACTTTGGTGCATTCAGAGCCAATGTTTCAAAATGCCATGATATTACTGGCCTCAGTTCAAACAAAGATGATGCTAAGATTTTGTGAACAAAATTGTTTTAAATTTCAGCATAATTTTCCCTGGTTTAAGCTCAGCACATGCATGTACCAAGTTCAGCATGCAGAATTCAAGCAGGATTTTGGTGCAGTGAATGCTTTTTGGCAGACTGGATGTAGTTGCGAAGTAACTTTGACAACACAACTTACCAGGAAATTTGTTTTTATGCAAATCATATAATTGTTATTCTCAAGTCCTTGTTAAAAAATAAGCCAACCAAAAGACTGAAAAAGCCACACCACAGTCATACAAAAAAGATGATAAAAATGTGCACATTTACTACATAAAAATACTGTCAGTCAAAGAGCATCAATTACATAAGCAGTATTACATAGGTCTGCAAGATGTATATTGGCAGATCAGCACGGATGCCAGCAGTTCCAGAGCTTACACCTCTTATCTCCTAAAATTGAATTTTCATCTCCCTCCACCCAGCAGCTCCATGTGCAAAGCAGAAGTGGTGGGTTTTCTCACAAATTTTGAATGGGGGTGAACAGAGGACATATTTGAGTGTTTTGACAGAGTATGCTATATGGATGTAGCTTTCTGTACATGGTGATGGCAGGCATCAATCATCTGCAATGGTTTGCCGTCTGAAAACCTGCCACTGACAACACGTGGTACATGCAAAAGTAAATCATTGTTGGCATCATTTACAACACATACCAGCGATATCACCCAAATAACTAAAAAATACACCTCCTCACCTCAATATCCTTCCACTTGCTGTAATCCACCATGGCTGGGTGTCTGTATCGATGCAGGCAAAAGCAGCTAGTACCCTAAGATGCCGTGTTCGTCTCCTCCGCCACTGTAAAAGACACGCAAATATTCACGCTTTATCTTTGAACACTCCCGCAATTACGACAGCGCACCAAGCAGTCTCTGCCCAATCGCACAAAAGTGACACCAAATATTTTGGTACGCACCCTCGCCGGCTGATTTCGTAACACCGCCCTGAATCTGGTGACCGAGCCTGCTACCGCTCACCCCGACTTTGCGAGATGCGTCTAGAAAATAAACAAAACATTGCCCACATCCGCCAAGGCTACCGAATACTGAGATGTCTAATCTGCTGATATATCCTCACGAACAAATTTCTTGACTAGACAAGATACCACATTGCATTTATCTATTTTCCATAATATTGAAATAATTGTATTCTTACCACCTGTATGCAGACTGATCATGTCAACCTTGCTAAATTTGACAAAAGGTAAGGCAATTGGAATGACCATGATCCATGAAGGAAATTAGCCCTCGTGGGTAAGAACTAATCGACTGATTAACTAGTTTTATGATTGTGACTCTGTGTATTGTTAGGATTTACGAAGAAAATGCTATTTTTTCAATCTGCCTTTTGAAGTCAGCGTAAGGGGCTGCAGTCATACAAACTTTAAACATTAAAACATGCTCGGATGGCCCGTTGGCCACATAATCCTACTTCTCCTGTTTAAAGTATCACATTATTCCTCACGCATCACAAGTGTATGTTATTAAATCCCGCCAGACAGAGCTCATTTTGGATTCCGGTTTGCATTCGAGGCCCGGACGTGGTTGCCCGGTACGCTCGTTGTTGAGTATGTCCGTTAAGACAGCCGATGTTCAACCCACGAGCCACGTGGAGGCTACAGCCGAATGCTAGTTTTTTTCTTATGGTGTTCGCTGACACATGAATCAAAGCTGTTGCCCCGATCCCCATCCCATGTCTTACGATACCGTTCTCCCCAATGCGTCAGGTGTGCGGAGGGATTTTTTTCAACCACAATGATGGACGAGAGATTGGAGCTAGCATAGCCCGTTTTGGATTCCAGCTAGCATTCGTGGCTCGGACATCTGCAGGACGATCAAGGGGTTCGAGGCAGTCAAGGAACACTCCAAATGCCAGGGTCCCCAGTGCGGTGAGTAGCCTGTCATGTCCGTGGGAACGAACTGATAACAGGACTCAAAACATAAAAAATGAAAGCAACGAAACGTGAATAATCCTTTAGAGAGTAACTGTGATGTCCGAGATGGTCACGGTCAAGGGGCCCTTAAAAAACTCAAAGTAGGCAAAAATACCTCATATGGTGTCTTGAGACGGGCAGGGCCCTTTCGCATTCACCAAGAGATTTCCTATTGCATAGGAGAGGCTGATGTTCTATGAAACTGTTCCCAGCCGCCGCCTTGAATACACAAGCGTTAACAGCATTAAACGTGCCTCTGCCAACAGAACAGATTTATATTAGCGTATGCGTATCTGTGGTTGGCGGCAGAAGGGATGGGTGCATTACTCCGTCGTTATCTCGTACAGCATATCATCCATCGGACCGTTTGGATCTAATTTTGCACCTGGAGTTTTGACACGATTCAAACTGCGTGTTTGTTTCATGTTCACCATATCGTCACGCTCTCCGGTGAAACAGCAGGCTTGTCAAGCTGTGCCATCCCATTTATTGGTTGCATAGCACCAAATGCCGTGTACACTGCGTTGCAACACAACTCTGTGACGTCTTTTTCGTCGACTACACTGCACAGCTACGATATAAATAGTTGAACAATATAAATAGGCGCACAGGCGGGTGGTTACAGGACCCCGCCGACTCCCGAGTGTGCCGGACCCCACCAGGCGTGGCGGCTCCGGGCACACCAGGCGCAGCGACGCCACCAGACCCCCGGACTGGGCGCGCGCGGGGCGGGGGCCCGGCCCACCGCGACCCCGGCGGCGCCGCCTCTTCCGGGTCGGCGCGAGAGCGGGCTGCGTCAGGTCGCCGACGGCGAGCGGTGCGGCCGCGCGGCCGCCGCCGACAACACGCCATTGTAATACTGACTGCGGGTGAGCGACTAGGCTTGGTTGGTCGACAATGCCCCGGCGCCCCGCCGCGACGGCGCTGCAGAATCAGATAGGTGGCGTCTTTGAGGGGCCGAACCGGCGCGGCTGCGTAACAAAAGCGGTGCGCGAACGCGCGTGCGGGTCGCAGCCGGGCCACCTGACAGCACTGTTGTACTCTGAAGTGGTGTGGGACAATGCCAGCTAGAACCGAACGAAGCTACACAAAGCCTCTCAACAGATTCTCGTGATGCGGTTCGCGGTAACCGTAAGACGTAATGCGAACCTCCGAATACACACACATACCATACCGATACCATACCGATACGAGTCCACAGGCATGCTAGCATAAATAAGGCATCCGCTCATAATTTACATGTCATACGCACACACGCACACTGCATCGAAACGTGCACCTCCTGAGCTTATGTCGTTGCTTAGATGGTTACACAAAAGTCAAACCGCTGCTCATAAAAAGATTCGCCCGACGAGGCCTCGAATACGATGCCAAAAACCTGGTTAACTCTTCTGATAAGAAGACAAAAAGCTACGTTTTCAGTCACATTTTCACACCGCACAAACGGACAGAGACCATGAAAAGACCACAAAGAAGCGGGCATCACCATCGTGAAATACTCAGATCAAATCGCACAAGAGCAGAAAGCATACGAATCCAACACTGCCATCCACGGGCTGAATGCCTCAGCGAACACCCGTCTTCGGCGAGAAGGGTTGACATTGGGCGTCAGGCCGGCTAGGAGGGCAGCAGGCTGACGTCGGCCACCAGCGAGAAGTGGTCGCTGGGGTAGGTGAGGCAGGGTGCCCGGCTCTCACCCAGCCGCTGGCCGCTAGGGGGCGGCAGCAGCGCGTCCACGCTGAACCGGCCGCGCGACAGGAACACGTAGTCGAGGGTCTGACGCACCTCGCCCGTGGCGCGGATCTTCCAGGTGGTGTAGGTGGCCTCGGCGCCGGTGGCCTGGCGCTGCGCCGACGTCAGCGCCGGCCATGCCTCCTCCGTCATCGCACTGTACACCGGCTCCGACGGCTCGGCGTTGAAGTCGCCGCAGACGACGACCGGCCGCTCGCCGCAGTGCGCCGCCACGAACGCCATCAGGTCCTTGCCCTGCTCGCTGCGGATGGCGCTGAGCAGGGCGCCGGAGCGCGCCTTCAGGTGCGTGGTGACGGCGCACAGCTCCTGGCCCGAGCGGCGGTCGCGGAGGATCGCGAGCACCACCACCTGCCGGCGGGCGGCGGTGTTAGGCGACGATGCAGACCACGAGCGCGGGATGGGTCCCAGAGCCGGGATCGTCGCGGGACGGCGTCAGTGACTGATCCCATACCGAAGAGCTCAAATACAGCGAGACAAAAGGAAGGATCAGGTAGTCCGGCTGTGACAGGCTCAGACGCGCGGCCAGCTGAGCAGCACTCCCAGACAACCCCAACATGCACATGCGGCTCCGCTCGCCAGGTTTTCCAGTATTCCAGACATAAGGCCAGTGAAGGGCTCAATTTCCGCCAGAGTCTGAACCTACCACCCACCGCCAGAGGTTTTCTAACTCCGCGGTCACTGATACTCTCTTACCTTACCCCTCCTCCCCCCCCCCCCCAGACTTGTGTTCGACCCAATGCTTTAAGCTGGCTCAGGATCGGCTTACAGATTTTGGGATCCGATTCAATTCATGGCTAATAGCCGTTCCATTTTGTTTTAAATTCAGCTAAGCTTAGACTGATCACGTCCGTTATTTGGTTCATGATTCACGTAATTGTGAAATCAAAGATCTGATTAAGTTCCGGCTAAATGTTTTATGACTCACGAGCTATTTGACTAATTCATGCGTATATATATATATATATATATATATATATATATATATAAATCATGACAGGAAAGATAGACACAAATGGCCTGGAAGCAAGTTTGTAGCTTGAACCCACCAAAAGCAGTGCAGCAAACAACACCTTCCCTGTAACCTGTTGCCAACTAGCTATCGCATGTCTTAGCTCTAGGCTAGTACAATGTTCCGGACAGCTATGATCCGGACCCATTAGTTAAATGGAATGCGATGCAGACTTGCTGTCTATTTCATATAGCATAAGCAATAACATGCTTACAGCAGTTCAAGTAGTGAATGGGGGGAGGGGGGTCAGGTGTGAATCAGTTAACTGTTGTAATAATTGACAATTAAAAATATGACCCGCCCTTGGATTGCATGGGAAGCATACAACCTTTCACTGATTTTAGCATAGGATATAGGAGCATAACGCGCCTGTGTCATGTAATATCCTTTGGTACCTGGCTGAGGGTTGGCAAACTTCAGGATCCGAACAAACAAGACTGTGCTTGCTGCTTATAAATCACAATAACAAATGTTGAGCTAAGATTGTAAGAAGCTTTTTAGTTATTGCTGCGTGCTGTCTATTTTAATGTTCTTAACTATTTTGCTGCTTTCTTTGGGGCGTATTCTGCTTCCTCATGCTACCACTTTAATTTGATCCATATGGATCACTGACACGAAATTGTGGCCAATGATCGGCTCGCAATTCAGCTGATGCGATTTACAAAGGACGTGATTCAGTCTACGGCTTGAACCGGCATTTTTCCTGACGAGCCGACTCAGCTCGCGGCTCACCCCAAAACGGTCGGCTCGTGGGCCGATTCAAGATTCAGCCTGAGCCGAGCACAAGTCTGCCCTACCCCCCTTCCCCTCCCCCACAACACGCTGTTCCGAACGCATTACAAACGCTCGCCATACACCAGTGTGCATCTGCAAACAGGGTTTGTTCGCAGCCGCTCCACCCGCCCGTGCCCCGCGCGTCCGACACCGTTCGCTGACGTCTCACCTGATTGTTCTCCACCTTCTAGACCTCGGCCAACACCGTTCGTTGACGTCTCACCTGGTTGCTCTGCACCTTCCAGACCTCGATCGACACCGTTCGCTGACGTCTCACCTGGTTGCTCTGCACCTTCCAGACCTCGACCGACACCGTTCGCTGACGTCTCACCTGATTGCTCTGCACCTTCCAGACCTCGAAGGCACCGTTCGCTGGCGTCTCCCCTGATTGCTCTCCATCTTCTAGACCTCCAAGGCACCGTTCGCTGGCGTCTCACCTGGTTGCTCTGCACCTTCCAGACCTCGGCCAACACCGTTCGCTGACGTCTCACCTGATTGCTCTGCACCTTCCAGACCTCGATGACGCGCGTCTCGGCCTTGACCAGCTCAAAGCGCTCGGTGTTGAAGAAGAGCGCGCATCCGTCCGGCCCGTTGTTGCCCTTGATATAGATGCAGGGGGAGTCCGGCTTGGGAAAGAATATACCCGAGTAGCCCATAGTGCCGAGCGCCTTCTGGAAGAACTTGAAGTGATCGATCTCCTGTGAAACAGACGCGCTGCAGTCAACAGCCAAATTATCACCAAATAAGAGGATGCTTATGGGGCAGTCACTTGGAGATGCCAACTGGGATTGGGTTGAATGCGGTTGAATGCGGTTCCGGTTGAATGCGTGCAAAAAATAAGATATAATCACCAGATTCTTTTGTCATCTCTCTTTTTCCAAGTTCATTATCATGTCAATCTCATTCATCACATCATTCATCATCTCATTCATCACAGTATAGTCGTGGCGTTTAGGGTTTTTGTGGTTGAAAAACTGTTTCATGGAATAAAAATGTTTGAGTGTTCAACAAAAATACCAACTGATCTCTTTTCCATAAAATAAATCCATTGAAGCTTCACCATCAGCACAGAAGTCAGCATTTCCAACAAAATTATGCATTTATTGGGAAGCAGAACATTTCTCCGATGGGAGTGATAAATTATTATCCGCAGTTTCTCCATAGTCTATCCAAAGAATTCGCATATGATAGCATCATCATAACCAGTCCCAGCAAGGCTATGCCACAAGTTGTAAAAGTAGACAGGGCAAGCCACGAAGCCACCTCAGACCTTTGTCCATCACCATGACCTCGTCAAAGAATAAGGAAATTTCCAGCCACACATCGTGCTTGCGGCGTTGTGATGCTATTCGCTGCATCACGAACAATGGAAACCCCACGCATATGTTGCAAATGTGCGACTTCAAAGTGAGGTGGTCACTCTTCAATCGTCCAACATTGCATCCCCGTGTTTCCGTTATTTTGCAAACCAGCTAAACCAGTCACCTCCTAAGAAAACAACGGTATCCGGACGCGATGCCGGGCAGACCGATGGCGTCCGCCGCCCGAGTCGGCCGCTCGGCGGCGCGCCAGGCCCCGACACCCACCTGGAGACAGAGGACGTCGGGCGCGTAGTGGCTGACCTCCTCCGCGAGACGGTAGCGGCGCGTGCACCACTCCAGCGCGCTGGCCGGGCACTGGGTGAAGTTGTCGTTGTGCACGCCCAGTGCTGCGAACGGACGCGACGACTCCGGTTAGATGTGCCAATCAGGAGGTTTATTGTTCCCATAATGGGGTAACCAAAGGGAAGGGTGATCTGTTAGCTCCAGCTTCTGGGGAATATCTGGCATAAGATCATGGTGCCTGGCATGGGAATGGTAGCAAAATCACTGTGGATTGAACAATGCTTGGTAAATTGAGCTACCTTACCAAACTATGGAGTAGGACCATTAAGCTTGGGATTCTGTCATATGCTACACATGATTTGAGCATGACATTTTCTGAGGACCATGGATATAAAGGCTACATGCAAGGCATCATGTATGAAGAATTACCAGTTACAAGTGAAATGGAAATATGACCTGCTTCCATGTGGGCTTATCTCAAATTAGCAGCACTGACCAATGGACTGACTTTGTGCTAGGCAGCTTATAAAACCTGCTGTGAACCAAACTTGAGTGAATCAATGGTGATACTTTGTAAAAATTATAAAATTGTTTGGGAAGTCTTGCATCAACACCCGACAACCTAAAAAACAGACTGCCAAAGAGAAAGACACATGTCACAATATGAAAGGGTGTAGAGGCTGTACCCAGATGGTTTGACTTTGACTGTTCCCATCAGCTAAGCACAACATACAAAAACCTGACCACAGCTTACTTTGTGACAGGGCATTCCACTGCATGATGCGGATCTGGTTGTGGTCATCAGTTGGCTGGTTGTAAACTATGAAGTCACGTGTTAAGAGCTGTGGCTGGCCAGCCAGCTGCTGCTGACAATGCTGTTCCATTTCCTGTGGTGACATATGTGCCACTGGGAAGGTAACATCATCATCTTCACTGTCCGGGTTCAGAATTTTTGGAGCTGACGTGAAACTACCCATCCTGAGGGCAAAATAAAACACATTAAATTATGAAACACTGAAAACTGTATGTATTATGACATGCTTTGTCATCTTTGCAGCCACAAACAGTCCAATCACATTATCATATACCACAACTGGATCACAAACATCAACATAAAATGGATAACAATTGAGCTTTGTTCACGCAAAGGACTGTTTCTTTAGGTCCAAACCTTGGCGGGTGTTAGGTCTAACTTCAGAAAATGAAAACAATGCAAAATCTAAACAGACACATCACATCTCATGAGCAAATTGGGCGTGTCCGCCATTCACCTTCCAAACATGAACGACGCAACCGCGTGGCAATATTCTGTTCCTTAAACACGGAATCCAGTACCCTCACGCATAACCTTCCGTCGAAATTAGGTCATTTGCTGTTAATGCAGCAAGCGCACAGCTAAAGCCCACCACCCATCCCCGTGGCACCATGCAGAGTCCGACGAACGTGAGGCAGGCAATCCCCGAGACCCCAGGGCAAGTCCGGACGAGCACACGATGGTTTATTTACAGCTGCTGTGGTTTATCGGGCCGTGGATATCTTACAGCTTGCGTCAGCAGTTGTAGCGAAAGCGCCATGAATGGCTGCACAAGGAATTCTCGGCCTATTGCACTACAGAGAGTGAGGGCTACCAAATTTTTAAAGATGGTTTCGTGAACACGGAATGGGTAGGCATGGAAAACTCGTGCTTTTGAATACGCATTTCAGATGTATGCTTGCGATAACCTGCCTTAGTGTTAATCACGATAATGTAAGTTTAATATTGGGATTCGATGAACTGCGGGAAAGATGACTGCAACTCCCCAACCCCCTTTCATCTCAGTCAAAACTCTCTCTCCTGATAAGCCCTGGTAGAAGCATGTCGGATGAAGGGCAGACGTGCCTGTGAGGAAGTGGAGGGATGCGTTAAATTGATCGTTGCATCAGGTTTTGCAACAACTACATATCTAGCAGCGATGAGGGCTATTCCAGAGCCTTGTGCCGGCGCTACACGAATATCGATCTAAACGCACCGGATCCAGTACCGTTGTACAACCGGTCGTCCGGCTAATGGCCCGGCAAAACACGAACACGAAACGAAGTGAAAACCCCTATTTGTCGAGTCTGTTAGCAAATAATGGAAAGTGCCGACGCTAGCCTGCTGCTAGCCTCGATTTTTGCATGACCGCACTCACCTTGTGAGGCATTGGGAAAGTTTACGTTTTGCGAGCGTCCTTCTGTGCACCTCTTCCCAAAACGGTAAGTCCATTTCTTGTCCCAAACGGCCCGCAAGAAAGAGTCCAGCTAGACCCGCTGGTTGAAGACGCATTCGACACCTGAGAATGCCCCAACAGGTGCCTAGCTTGAGGACGCGGGCTGAGGTGGCCAGGGCGACACCCTTCCGCTGGGCAGGCAGGCGGCACAGTGCGGCGCACAGAAGCGTGCACGCCACGTGCCATCGGCGGAATCTGCAGCGGGCCCTTGCCAGTTGTTCGAATTGGGGAGGGTCGGCGGGCCCTGACCCGGGTTCGGGGGTCAAGACCCAGACCCTTTGTCACTGTGTTGTTCCCGCGCGCCGCGTCGCTCAATGTTGTTCGAAGCGAGGCTCGGCGGTCACCTGTGACCGCGATTCGCAGTGCTCCACCTGTCAGCGCCATCAGCAGCGAACAGCAGCGAACGAACCCACTCGGTTTTGCGCGCGACTTGCTTGAGCCTTGGAGTGGCTGACAACGGGACAGCCTCTGCAGAGCAAGCTTCGTCAGAAAGAAAGCCGCGGTCCAACAGACTGGAAATTACCACGTGGATGACTTCTGTATCGCTGACGTCACAGTTGTATTTCACGCAGCGGGCGCACAAACCCCTGCAGCTTTCTGCGCGTGCGAGCTCAGTGACGATGAAATGCAGGGCGCTAGACCACAGAGCACTAGAATGAGATGCGCCTGCGATCCGTGACGAGTATCCCTCGGTCTCACGTGACAGCTGACACACGACCCCCGCGACAGGTGTTCTGCCTTTTCTGCTTACACCAAAAAACCGCATTTTCCCCAAATCTGGTCTTAGGATCTCATGGGGTTCTGGAATTCCGCCCTGCGATAGGCTCCTCTGATTTGCCGCGCATCGCATGTTTCGCTGCTGGTCCCAACTTTCGCCCACGCCAGTCGCCTTTAGCATCCCTTGGTGCGTTAGGCATGGGGTGGTGCATGATGCCCTGGTTAGACAATCAATATTGTCTGTAGATAGATACTGTCACAGTTCATATGGATGTGGTTGCGCCATCAGCGTCAGCTGCTGGGCCCGGTTAAGTTTTGTACAGTTCAGGCGAGAGAACTGGCGAACTTTGTGCTATACCCCGTGCGTTTCTTATGCCATGCTTCGCTTAGCACCTGTCAAATGCTCATTTGAATTATATTGACTACCTTAAAGTAATATACGGTTGAGTAATTCGGTAAGACATATGTTGAATGAATTTTCGGTCAAGGCTCTTGCTCACGGAGAAGAAATGTACAATGTTTGTACATTACACCACAGTATAAAAATGTATACATTGTATTTATACGTTTGGACACAGCACAGTCTGTGACAACAAATGTAATAAATATGCATATTGATTAACGACGAAACCGTGACTCATTATTGTACGGAGATGATTTCGATTAAACACTTAGCACGCCCACTTCGTATCTGCACAAGTACTGAGGCAGGTTAGAGTTTGTCCGATATTGGTAAAACGTTGTTGTAAATGAATGCATCGATGACGGCATCAGCGAAAATAAAGTTTCAGCTGTTCTATGCGCAAAGAAGGCACTGCTACTCGTCCTCTCGCATGCTGCCCTGAGGACAAAATTGTACCGATCTGGGGCGCACAGCTGCTCCATGTCTGCAACTGTGCTCTGAGTCAACTGACCAGTTTATGGAGCCTGCCCGTTGTTAACCAAGCGTTCGTTGGCGTTTACCAAACGCAATGTTCAAGCCCCAGCTGAAAACAGCTTCAGAATCACATCACTCCATTTCTCAGATTCAGACCTATGTCACAAACTGCATGACGCGTTGATCAGCGGGAACGGCGGTATATTGCTGACCTTGATGACGTCACTGCAGCCCTCTGATATGACACCAAAGCGGCATAGCTGCTCTCAGCTATGCTTCGGGCAGCAATGTTTACCTCGGTCATTTCATCGGACAACAGTGACGTCGTCTGCTCTAAAAATACACCGCTGTCGCCCCTGATCGATACATCAGTCATGTGATGTCGTTGCCGAATCGCCTGGCGTATCCTATGACGCTGGCCTGTGACGCGTGCCTTTAATATAAGCAGTTGAGTAAGGTGCCTTGAAAGCTCAGATACATCGGTCGGCAAACTTGATTCGCAAGGAGCAAGCGGAGACGAAATGTGGGTGCGCCTTGCCGACGCCGCTCTAGATCTTATGATGCGAAGCACCGACTTGACTAAGCAAGTCGGTGCTTTGTGTATCGCCGTACACTGTTGAGGATATCATTTTAACGGCCTATTATGGTGCCGAATACAGTTTAAAATTTTGAAGGTTCACACACACACAAGAACAGAATCTTTTAGCCGGCTTCGTGACAGATCTTTGTACTGACTTGGCCTAATCTAAATGAATATGCTGCGTTTTATCAGCTGTCGCTAATCGCTTGCAGTCAAAAACTATATTTGGAAAACACAAATATTCACTTGGCATGTTGGATAGCGTCGGGCGCCAATTCAAGAAAGCCCCAAGCCATGCAAGCACTACGACGAAAGTGAAGGCGAAGTTCAAGTAAGCAATGGCCCTCGTGGCCTAGACACGTGGAGGGTTTCATTGTTTTTTTTCTGATGTTACGTTTTTGCAGGGTACCTTAAAACAGCGTGATTTTACAGATTATTTGACACAGCTGATGATGAATGGACAACAGATGATTTGAGTAAATGGGTGAGTTGAAGCGAACGAGAGATGGTCAGAGCTGTGTGGTCATAGTCCATCGCTTGCACTTGCACTTAACAGCCGTAATGTTTAATCGAGAAATCAATACATTTACATGTTTGGGCATTACTGCGGATTACGCCCTAGCACTATAAAGAACACCGGCTTTTGGTTTGGCACACCGTCGACGCCTGTAAATGCGGCGGCTTGGCATTCACAGCACCATGCGACACTCACACTTCACTCGCATTCACACCGCGACGCGACGCTTCAGCATTTGGGGCAGCTCAGCAACACCACATGAATAACATGTGACAAAATAACACATTCATCGTCATTCTTCGTGATTGATTCATTTCCAGATTTTGCGCTGCTTCTATCAATATTTGTCACTCCATCAACACGAGACTTCATTAGAGACGTTCGAAAGAAGGCGCAAAATTGGACGTTGTCTCATCAGTTTCCAGCAGGTGGCTGTATTGGCGGACCCCTGGGTACTGTCATGGCCTGGTGAGCCACAGACACTGTCCAGCAGGTGGCTGTGTTGGCGGACTCCTGGGTACTGTCATGGCCTGGTGAGCCACAGACACTGTCCAGCAGGTGGCTGTATTGGCGGACCCCCGGGTACTGTCATGACCTGGTGAGCCACAGACACTGTCCAGCAGGTGGCTGTATTGGCGGACTCCTGGGTACTGTCATGACCTGGTGAGCCACAGACACTGTCCAGCAGGTGGCTGTATTGGCGGACTCCTGGGTACTATCATGACCTGGTGAGCCACAGACACTGTCCAGCAGGTGGCTGTATTGGCGGACTCCTGGGTACTGTCATGACCTGGTGAGCCACAGACACTGTCCAGCAGGTGGCTGTATTGGCGAACCCCTGGGTACTATCATGGCCTGGTGAGCCACAGACACTGTCCAGCAGGTGGCTGTATTGGCGAACCCCTGGGTACTATCATGACCTGGTGAGCCACAGACACTGTCCAGCAGGTGGCTGTATTGGCGAACCCCTGGGTACTATCATGACCTGGTGAGCCACAGACACTGTCCAGCAGGTGGCTGTATTGGCGGACTCCTGGGTACTATCATGACCTGGTGAGCCACAGACACTGTCCAGCAGGTGGCTGTATTGGCGGACCCCTGGGTGCTGTCATGACCTGGTGAGCCACAGACACTGTCCAGCAGGTGGCTGTGTTGGCGGACTCCTGGGTACTATCATGACCTGGTGAGCCACAGACACTGTCCAGCAGGTGGCTGTATTGGCGGACCCCTGGGTGCTGTCATGACCTGGTGAGCCACAGACACTGTCCAGCAGGTGGCTGTGTTGGCGGACCCCTGGGTACTATCATGACCTGGTGAGCCACAGACACTGTCCAGCAGGTGGCTGTATTGGCGGACCCCCGGGTACTGTCATGACCTGGTGAGCCACAGACACTGTCCAGCAGGTGGCTGTATTGGCGGACTCCTGGGTACTGTCATGACCTGGTGAGCCACAGACACTGTCCAGCAGGTGGCTGTATTGGCGGACCCCTGGGTACTGTCATGACCTGGTGAGCCACAGACACTGTCCAGCAGGTGGCTGTATTGGCGGACCCCTGGGTACTGTCATGACCTGGTGAGCCACAGACACTGTCCAGCAGGTGGCTGTATTGGCGGACCCCTGGGTACTGTCATGACCTGGTGAGCCACAGACACTGTCCAGCAGGTGGCTGTATTGGCGGACCCCTGGGTACTGTCATGACCTGGTGAGCCACAGACACTGTCCAGCAGGTGGCTGTATTGGCGGACTCCTGGGTACTGTCATGACCTGGTGAGCCACAGACACTGTCCAGCAGGTGGCTGTATTGGCGAACCCCCGGGTACTGTCATGGCCTGGTGAGCCACAGACACTGTCCAGCAGGTGGCTGTATTGGCGGACTCCTGGGTACTGTCATGACCTGGTGAGCCACAGACACTGTCCAGCAGGTGGCTGTATTGGCGGACTCCCGGGTACTGTCATGACCTGGTGAGCCACAGACACTGTCCAGCAGGTGGCTGTATTGGCGGACCCCCGGGTACTGTCATGACCTGGTGAGCCACAGACACTGTCCAGCAGGTGGCTGTATTGGCGGACCCCTGGGTACTGTCATGACCTGGTGAGCCACAGACACTGTCCAGCAGGTGGCTGTGTTGGCGGACCATTGGGTACTGTCATGGCCTGGTGAGCCACAGACACTGTGCTGCCCGTCCAGTTAAACAAAGAGCCGACCAACACTAGTTCCGCAGATTTTTTTACTACTTTTAGCACGAGCAATACTAGAACCCTGACGTGGTAACCCA